TAAAAATAAATAAATAAATTTTAAATTAATTTTTATTCAAATTATTTTAAATATTCAAAAAGAAATATATATTAAAATTATTATGAATATTTTCAAATTCAATTTATATTAAAATTATTCTAAATATTTAAAATAAAATATAAATTTTAAAATTATTAAATATTTTTATTAAGAAATAAATGTGAAATTATTTTAAAGTTACAAAAGTACGAGAACATTTTAAATATAAATTTTATAAAATAGTCTAAAAATATGAAATAAATATCAACAGCAAGAAATACAAAAGTTCCTAGCCAAAAATCGATAGAAACTATCGATATATTTCATAAGCTCAACTTTTTTCTAGCAATAATTTGCAGAATCAACTCTTGTTTATGGAATATATTTCGCTGTCTGTACGCATATTTCGAATGGAGGCAATGCGAAATCATGCTCAAATCGAGCAAATTGCATATTTCTTACGCTCGCGATTTAATTTTTGATGCGATATGCCGCAGAGTCGACTGGAGCAGAATCGGAAGTCAGGAGGGCGTCTCCACTGCAATTGCAGCAGGAAGCTTAGGCCACATCCTTAGCTACTCGCTTGTCTTACACTTTGGGCTGCTGCGAGTGTGTGACTTGTAAATTTCCCCAGTTGAAGCAGCAGCAGCAGCAGCAGCCGCAACAGCAGAGGCGCTTGATTGAGCGCACGTTTTGCCGGCTTCGAGTTGGACTGTCAGACAGTCAGCAGCGCTTCACTTGACTTTTTATTTAAAATATATAGTATGATATAGGGGGACCGAGCACGAAATTAAACAAAAAAAAAGAGGTAGGAAATGAAGCAAACGGCTAACTCTTTTTATTTCCCAAGTGTCAGAGCAAGCCTTGGCGCAATTTTCGTTTGGTTTCTCTGTCTGTCGCCCTCCTCTGGCCGATGGCAGCTCGTACGTGTTTAGTTATCTTATTCAGGTTTTGCAATGCACCACCTATGGCTGCGCTTACGCAAGAGCTTATATCTCTATATTGAGGCTGTAGTTTTAAATTTCTGCAATATCATTAACATCATTATTAAAACTGTTCTCTGTATGGGTATTCAATGCCTTTCGCTGTATTAAAGTTGGATAAGCTCAAGACTCACTAGCTCCTAGCATTTTTGCCTGTCACGTCATGAGTATGTAAATTTTTATTTTCTCTCGTGTCTCGCTTTGAATATTATACAGTATTAATGTGAAAAAGTACAGCGTTGATTTCACATGTCTCGCTCGCAACGCACTTGGGGGAAACCCTGTGCAAGGCCCTCCAGCCAAGCGGAGGTGGTGAAAAATGTTGCAAAGATGCAAAACAACTGTTGGCAGTTTGTCAAATTTGATTTGTCATACATCAAATGGCTTTAAAATGACAAGAAGCACGAAACGGGAGCTGTCAGCCAAATGGTTCTTGACTAGAGCTGCAAACTGCTCCCACAAACAGACACCATAGAAGAGCCAAACAAATTTGATAAAAAAGAAGAGGAAAGAAAAAGTGTTGATGTGTAAAAAGGCCCGAGGGCTGCATAATGGTAAATGCAAACTACCATAAGAAGAATTTATGTAAATCAAATACGTTCTCAACCAGTTGGTTATAGTTGCGAAATCGTTGGCTAAGAGAACTAATCGGACTAAGAAATGCTCTAAAATTGATTGCGCTCAAGAAGACTTAAAGTTGTCCTTTAATAAATAAATATGTAAATATAAATAAAAAAATATATATAAAAATAAACATATATATATAAAAATAAAAATATATATATATAAATAAAAATATAAATACAAGTTTATTTATAGTGAAGGCTCTGAAAAGTTAAATAATCTTGACAAGATACCAAATACCCGCATTGTAGTCTCTGGGTTTAAGAAGTCTCAATAAATCATCGTACAGAAGACGATACTTATCGATCTAATAAAATCTAAGTAGCGTAGATATAAAACAATAACAGCTTAAATTCTTAATTAAAATTATACTCAAAAGTGAAAGTAGAACTTTTAGAGAGATGGACTTGGATAGTTGAGATAAAAAAGCTGGCTATGTTGGTATATAATATATAAAACTTTTGGTCTACAATATGTATAACTTATATATAACAGAACTAAAAATAAACCACATTTTCATTGATATATTTGGGTTTAAAATATTTTGGCTTTTATATATTAAATGATAATTAAATAAAATAAAATAAATTATTATTTATGTGAAGTGTTGATTATAATTTCTAAATCGAGTTTTTTATTTTATAAATTATAAAAAAAGTTGTTAACAAACAATTTTTAAGCAGAGTTCTCTTTAAGTCTACCGCGTCTAGAGCTGCTCTCCTAGCTTGCTATTAATAGACCGTTCATTATTTGCATCGGCATGCTGCTGCATACATTAACTAAGCTACAAAGTGGCGCTATTTCTGTGGCCCTAAGTAGCTCATTCATTTACTTAATATTCTAATATAAATTTTAACGCACTCCATCAAAAGAGCTGCACTCGAAAGGCGAGACCCGCTCAAGAACACGGTTGGAATGCCGGCAGGAACTGCCGCCAGCTATGCAAACAGTTTGTGCCAACTTAGTCTGCTGCCGGCCAGGACTTAGAGCACCCACACACACGCACGCAGAGACAAGCGTCTGTTTGAAGGACATGAAATGAAACTCATTTGCTTCATTGGGCCTGGTGAGAAGGCTGGATAAGTGGGCTGGCAAATGCCACAGTTGGTTTTTGCCCAAACCTGGCTGACTGCCTGCTTGGCATTTGTGCAGCGTGACACGCAAATTGCCAGGATACACACAGGGAAACACATTTATATACACACACACACATACACAGCTAGACAATGCAGCGTGTTTAACTTCGCCTGCGACAAGTCAAGTGGGAGCACAATGGACTCCGACAGCCCAGACACTCATTTGCTGCCGTACCAGCTGCCGTAGCTGGGCCAGTATGACCATGACTAATTTGTTAGCAATTATGTTGGATTGACATCCTCGGACTGGGCCACATTAGCATAATTGTTGGTTTGAGCAACCGCCCACAGGTGTGACTTTCATGAACTTACATTACTCATGACTGCCGCACGACACGCGTTCAGGTGTTTAAGCAAAAACTAACATTGATTTACAGAAATAATTCTTAAATTTTTGATGTAAGCCTGGCTAGCTGTTGCTGCAGCTAGATTTTAATTCATAGCTAGTGTTTAAATAGTAAAAGTAACTGAGATAATGGAGTTGTTCTGCATAAGATATAATTGAATAAGATACAGAAGTATCTTCAACTATTAAAAGTATCAAAAAGATACAAAAGTAACCGAGATAATGGAGTAGCTCTGTATAAGATATAATTGTATAAGATGCAGAAGTATCTTTAATTAGTAAAAGTATCGAAAGATACAAAAGTAACCGGGATAATGGAATAGCTCTGCGTAAGGTATAATTGAATAAGATACAGAAGTATCTTTAATTAGTAAATGTATCAAAAAGATACAAAAGTAATGTAGTAGCACTGCATAAGATGCAAATGTTTAAGATACAGAAGTATCTTTAACAAAGAAAAGTATGCAGAAAATATTGCGAAATGTAAGAGTATGTAAAAGATACAAAAGTTTCTTCAGCAAACCAAATTCTTTGTAAAATATTACGTATTTATGATATACCAAGTTATCTCTTAAATAAAACTACAATTAATATCTATATAATACACATATCTGTGATATACAAAACTATTTATAAAACGTATCTTTATGATATCAAAGTTTCTATTAGATACAAAAGTATCTGTTGGAGTCAAAAGTATTCTTGAGTTGCAAAAGAATTTATAGGATACATGCGCATCAGAGAAATACAGAACTATCTATCAGTAACAAAAGTATTTGTTAGATACAATAGTATCTGTTGGATACAGAAGAGTTTTTGAGTTGCAAGAGAATTTATAGTATGCAAAACGCAACTTAGTCATATGAAACTATCTTAAGTAAAAAATGGAGTACAAACTCTCTGAAGAATAAACTCTCTTCATATAAAGTGAAGTCTTAGCTGCTACTTTTTGCGCTTTAAAATACACATGCTATATACGTTGCTATCTTCTACCTTCTATTGATGTCAGTTATACATTATAAATATCAAAACTTGCAGGGTATTTGATCGTCGGCAAGCTCTCGCTTTGCAAACTTGGTAACCTCAGCTTCAACTACTTAATGACTTAAACAACTAACTACAATGTAAAGTCTCGCATAAAGTTTCCACTCTAAAAGTCAGTCAAATGCAAAACCGCAGCTTGTTTTGGGGGTCTCAGGTTCAGGGAACCAGCCAAAGCGACAGTTGGGACAGGAGCTGAAAATAGGGACACAAACCGCAGCTCTGCATGTTTAACAATTTGCACTTAATTGTTTAGCTCAACAACAACAATTACGAGACAACTGACAACAGAAGCAGCAGCAAGAACAACCATTTTACGAGTATAACACATTCACAAGCGAATTGTAATTAATTTATGTGAAGTGTTAGGGGAGCTGCTTTGAGTGAGCCACTAAATAGTTTCCTATTCGTTTGCTCGTTGATTTTTGACTACTGCTGACCATTTGATACGCCCACTTAATTGTGTGGTAATTGAAGAGCTACTGGGCGTGGTCAGCAGATGGCAATTTGTGCAGGTGAAGTTGTTTGACGCCGTGGGAGTAGCTAATATCAGTGAGTAGTCACTAGATGCTGCAGCAGATGCGGCGCAGAAAAGTATCTATAAGATACAAAAATATCTTTAATATGACAAAACCTGTTCGAGCTGCAAGAGTTCTTCAGAGACAAAATAAGCATCTGTAAAATATAAAAATATATATATAAATACACAAAAGTATCTTTAAGAAGCTTTTTGGAAACCCTCCAGATGCCGCAGCTTCTACAATAGTCCGTCCATCGGATTCTATCTTTCCGGATGCAAAGCCGACATGTTCCTGCTTGAACAGGTGCAATAATTAAGCTTTTATTGGAATTTACAAAAATGTGTATTCATTTGAAATTTTAATCAGTTTAAGATATTTGCAAAAATTTAAATGAAAAATTTTAAGACAAGCCTCTAAGCCAGAGGGCCACATATATAATTTATGCCTAAATTTAGCGGGAACTATGGAAGACACCCAGAGCATCTACCAGAAAATCCAATCTATCAATTTATCGCTGGCAGTTCATCAAGTATTATGGATACGTTGTTACTGCAGCCATTGGATGTGATTACGACTCGACTGCAGTTGCAGAGCAAAACGATCGTAGGGCCTGTACACTATACGGGCATGTTGGATGCCTTCAAAAAAATATTTCGCCAAGAGGGTTTGACAGCATTCTGGCGGGGCTTAGTGCCAGTTTTAGTGATTGATACGCCAAAACGTTCAATTAAGTTTCTGGTGTTTGATCAATCTAAGTCGTATTTTATGTTTGGCTCATCATCGCCATGCCCGTGGACTTATGCATTGGCTGGTGGGATGGGAGGTATCGTAGAGGCGCTGATACAAACTCCTTTCGAAGTAATTAAGATTACACAGCAGGCAAGTCGTAAGAAGCTTCCCTCGCTACAGGTGGCAAAGCGTATAATTCGAAATGAGGGCTATGGTTTCGGAGGACTGTACAAAGGCGTCTCAACTTTGGTGGCTCGAGGTTTTGTCTTTAATGTCATATATTTGGGACTATATTGGACAGTTCGAGATGCTACACCTGAGACTCAACATCCGTTTAATGACTTTTTGCGCCATTTGGCAATAGCTAGTCTATCCAGTTTAATGGGCTGTGTCATAAGCCTTCCACTAGATACAGTAAAGACACGGATACAAGGACCACAGCCAGTGCCGGGTAAAATCAAATACCGTGGAACGCTCAATACCGTGTTAATAATAACTCGAGAAGAGGGTTGGACGGCACTATACAAAGGCATAGTGCCGGTCTCCATACGAATGGTGCCTGGCGGAGCTATTTTACTTTTAGGTTACGAATTTGTTAACAAGATTTTGGAATTAAAGTTTAACCATTAAAATTAATCAAGCTAAACTTTATAAGTTAGTAGGAAATAAAGTGATGCCCAACCTAGGCAAACCTAAATTTGTAAGCTGCTTTCATATATCAAAAAAAGTATATATATAATTATATATAAAAAAATATAGAATAATAAACAACTCATAGCAAAGCACAATTTTAAATACCTTTTTTTTGCGAATTTCTGTATGGGTAATGTGAGGTGTTATAAGGTTGTGCAACAACCCGTTTTTTAATTAAACTATAGCTTGAATGCGTGTTTTCAATGGCAACAAGAATAGTTATTGAAGCAAGCTAGATGACTGAAGTTGAAGCCTGTGGCTCATTTGATTTCGACATCGATAATTAGACAAGGCTAAATCGACTCGTTCTGATGAAGACCATGTCTTCTTCTGGCTATTACACACTTTTAATAAAAGCATTCTAAACGGAATTGCCATTTTCATTGCAATAAGCAATAATAAATTAATTTGTAATATTGAATGAAATATGATTGCATAAATATATTAATAAACTCTCTGGACCTAGGTTCAACTAATTGCTGAGAGATTTCTATATTTCATTTCCACATATGACTTGCTATCACAGCATAGCTGTTTGCTCTAGCAATACCATTGAAATGAAATGATTAACTAATAGAGAAGCAAAATAAACAAATTAGGCAAACATCGCAACTCACATTTGATGCTGGGGACAATTAAACAAGTTGAGCAACAAATCGAATCGTCCGGATGCAACAATACAACAACAATATATCAAACAATAAATGTGTTTTGGCTTTTCTGGGCAACGAAAATGTCTCCAGGGTCAATTTCAAATGCATACGAATTGCCGCATGCACAGAGAGAAAGAGAGAGAGAGGGGAAGAGAAAGAGAAAGGGAGAGACACTCATACGAGTTCGAAATATACATAGATTAGTGTAATTACGAGTATAGCCATGGAGTGGAATGATGTCAATGTTGGCTCTAAGGCATTTCACTGCACTCATGAATTGCAGAGAGAACGAGATAGCGGGAATGCGTGAGTGAAAGAGAGAGACAGTTTTGGGCGAGTGTTTGGCATTAACAACATGATGCTGGTTACATTTTGGCAGATGGCAAATTCAGCTTTTGATTTCATTTCATTACCCATTGCAATTTCAACTATGAATAATTGAATATGTGCATCGCATACTTTAAGGCATCAAATTGCCATTGCCATTGCCATTGCAATTGCAATTGTTTGGCTTTGTTGTTGCTGTTGTTGTTGTCAGGCTTTTGGCTAATTCAGCTGGAATATGCTTATTACGCATTAAAACTAATTAAGCATGAACATTTCTGCTGACACCCGCCTCACATCACCTCGCTGCTAACCAATTGACAAAAGTTTGCAAATATTGTTGTTTATCTTTGATTGATGTCAGTTTTAAATTGTCAAACATTTAACCATGGCTCGTTGTAAGCTCTTAATACGGAGAGCTGAATGCATTGAAAATATGTATTAAATAGATGAAATGTGTTGATATAACATATTATAAATAAGAATATCTAAAAATATTATATGTTATATAATTGTATAATATTTTTAAAATTAGTAAAATATATATAGAAGAAAATGTAACAAAAGGAAAGTGTGAAATATTTAATTTTTAGTATTTTATATTTAAATTAAAGCTGTCTTAATAGACAACATTTCACAGGATAAATTTATTTTAAGGTTTATTATTTTCATATCAACAAAATAAGGTAATTCGATTTATCGATAACTGAAATCGTTTATTTTTTTTTACATAACAGTTCTTTGTTTAAAGTTAATTTAAAGTTAAACCATAAACCACATAAAGCAGACAATGCTTTCTATAATTTTATCCAAATAAATCGCCAGCTTTAGCAGTAATTCTTGCAAAGATTATGTAAGTAGAAAAAAATTGGTACATAATTAAATCAATCCGAATGCCCTAAATGCAGCCCGTTAAGCTCACTTTTAGCAAAATTTATCCAGCTATCACTTTAATTGCTTTTGACTCAATTAAGCCCCGCAAATGCCACGCATAATTCCAATAAAAGTGCCCAAGCACACTTGAAATTCAACAATGGCCAAACGCTCAATCAACAAGAGTCCAATCACTAATAGCAAACAGAGCAAAAAATTGCTTTTTGGCCTTTTGAAAAATTCAGCATAAACAAATTGAGTTAACAGAAATGAAAAGCGGCCAATGGAAACTTAATTGTTGTCGCATTTCGCTTTATCTCTTTATCAATTGGTTACTTCAGCTGCCTCGACGCTGTTGTCTAGTCAATAAAATATGAATTATTTCAAATATTTTGGCGTACAAATAAATCAAATGCCAACACTCAGCATCAAAGAGAGTAAAATGGCAAAGAAAACAAAAAATACAAGCAAAAATATTTCGCATTTCCTTTTATTTTCTTATATTTTTTTTTCGTCTGCTCACAAATTTTTTATCAGCACATAGCACAAATTTCGTATACGTCATGTGATTGTGGTTGAATGCCTGTTTCTGTTAGTCTTGTTATTCTTGTTGTTGCTGCGGTTGTCTAAATAAATTTTGTATTGACCATGGTTAACGCTTCAGTGAGCAATAAGCAAGCGAGGGGCAGGCAGGCAGTCGAACGTTTGGTTTGGGTGGAATTTTCGTTTCACACCAACTGTGAAAAGCACAAAAACCACAGAGAGAATTTTGCTGGCCGCCAACTGCTGTTGCTGTTGCTGTTGGCCAACGCCTCGAAGCATGCCACAAGTTATGTTACACACATACACACGTATTGCCCACTCAAATGTGAGTATGAGTGTGTGTGTGTGCGAAATAAAATGCTCATATTACACTAGTTATACAATTGTTGGACGTAAATATGATTAAGCCTGTGGCTGAGCCAAGTGGACTCAGAAACCAGCCAAAACTCAAAATGAAATGAAATAAATCTTTGAGCTTGTGCATGTGTGTTACCTTTTATATTTAGAAGTTTTACAACAGTTTAACATCATTAAGCACTATTTTTCTTTCTAAAAATTATTATATCAATATTTCCTATTTAGAAATATTTAAAAAATTTTATTTTAATTTTATAAGAAATTTTGCTCAAATTTAATTTATAATTGTATAACCCCAAAACAATATTTATATTTATTGTACTAAGTAAACTATTGTTTTTATTAATATCTTAAAATATACTTTATAATAATAATGAATTATAGTAATTTGTGTCTTGCCTTAGGTCTCGCCGAACTAAAACTCAAATATTTATACTCTAAACTGAAGTTAAATTTCTAAATATTTTTGGTCAATATAATGTTTTTTTGTAGAGCATTCGAATTTCTTAACATAACTGAACTTTATTATTGAAAATTCATAACACGTTTCTGCCCAGTCGAAATGGGAGCGGCAGTCGAATTTTATTTTATTTCTTTTGATTTCGGTAGTGTTATTTGTGTTTTTTCGATGGTCGTTGCCCCTGAAAGCTTAAAGCCGCAATGTAAAGTGCGGCGAAAATGAAATGAAATTAATATGAAGTTTGACTTAACGCCTCATAAATCATTGTCCAATTTTCATGTCGCATGCCCTGCAGCAAGCAGCACCAGCACCAGGACGAACAGGGACAATCTTGTGCTGACGCTGTCCTGGCTGCCTGTAACACAAACACACTTAAAATGATTGAAATATATGTATGGCAGCTCTATATGCGTATCATGCTGCTACATTGCAGCAAAATGCGATATATATATATATATATATATATATATATGTATATGTATGGGAAATATGTATGTATACAAAGACAAGCTTCATATTGGCCAAGAGCGAAGACAGGAACAGGGCCGAAGACTGAAGACTTCCTCATTACACGCTTGTCACGTGCACATTTAACGATTCGCTGCACACACACACACACACAGTGACATAATTACACACACACGCCGAGAGAGACACCAACACCCGTGCATGACAGTCATTCATATTAATAATGTCGGTCAAAAAAAACATTACATAGACAGTGCTAAAAAAATACTCAGCCGGCCATGCATACAAATTTCAGTTTAAAGTAGAAGAGATCATGGCTCTCAACTATGGTCCTATATACTTTTACACAAATTTAACTAAACTGTAATAATTTTGTTAAAACTTTTATATAAATTTATAGATTTTTGCAAGTTTTTCAACTTAAATTTAACAAGTTCTCATGCAGCTGCAGTTGTATATTTAATTTGCTTTGCAAATTATGCACAAGTCTCTCTCGCCCCCTCTCTCTTTCTTAGTTTCCCTGTCTGTGTCTGGTTTTCTCTTTACCTAGTTGCCAAAGTGAAATCTAAGCCTTAACACAATTTTCTAGTATTTTAGTTTAAAGCCAAATACAAAACAAAGGTCAGAAATAGTAAAAGTCAAATAAATTCTATAAGCTCTCTTCTTACTTTTAAGCCTTTACATTACTTGATATGTTTGTGACTTTGAACAACACTTGTAAAATAAATGATGATTTTTATTTTGAATAAATATACAAATATTTAAGAAAAATTTTAGTAAATTTAAAAATTTTAAAATTTAAAAAGCATATAAAAGAAAATATATCTCTAGAAGAAAGTAATCAAAAGTTTATTGAAAAACAGAAATGGAAAGAGAAAATCATACAACATAAATAAATAAATATAATATAAACTAAATATTTTTTATTTATTTATATAATATAAATAGAATTTATATAATAAATTTATATATATATATATATATAAACAAAATATTTCTTAAAATAATTAATATAATATAATTAATATAATAAATATATTTATTTACTAATTAAATAACATTTTTGTATTTATTTATAAATAAATATTTATTTAATACACGAAATTTTACTAAATGTATTTTTAAAATCAATAAAGTGACTAAACTTTAACGCAACCTTTGCCAGCATTTTAGTGGCTTCCATTAAAACATTTAATTTCAATTTAATGTTTAAATTGCAGAGCTTGCCGCTCAAGTTCATATGCAGTAGAAAAGCATTAAGCTGACACTGGACCACTGACCATATGCACCACATGACGTCCCATTACACAGCCTCACACACCACGCACATACCACACACA